CTGTTTCTGTCTTTGATGATGATGAGGAGGAGGAGGGTCGTCAGCACCCATTCCCTGCTAGTCGTCCCAACAAGACCCGGCAAGTTACAAATCTTGTAGGTTATTTACGCGTGTCTCAACGGAACAGTCATGTGGGAACGGCGCTCGGAATACGTAAAGAAGAGAACAACGTGATCAATGCGTCGCGTCTGTCAAGATGAAGTATGATGTGGGACGTTGAAACCCGCGGATCGCGTGGCGGAGCAGTATTATTTGTTTCGATGAGCTGGGGCACAGTGTCTATACATCGATCTCCAGTGGGATATATAAATATACGTATATACAAATATACACTGTGAAAAGTAGCTATCCGATTCGGCGTCGCTGGTCAACTGTGATCAAGCAACTTAGTAGAGAGTTACAGTCTGCTTTTAGATTGCCGCACTCAAGCCCTTCGGTCCGATGTAGACTCAAGCACATAAGATTGGTAGGCGAACATGCAGAGGCTTGTTGCAGGCCATCATCCGGCCTAAATATGATAGACACCAGGACCGATTACCCGTTTATCACCATACTTTTGAGTTTGAATGTAATACGACAACTGCCAAGAATCTCCCAGTAAAGCACCGTCAAGGTGTTAGTTAATCACCTCGCCCTTTTACGTTCACCATCTAGTCAATGATGTTATCATCTTTGAGGTGATGGTGTTGAGCAGGTGCTGATTAGAACCTGGCTTCCGGTTGTTTACGTTTAGCAGTTGTACCGATGAGTAAGCTGGTAGTTTATCACCATACGACACCTGCCAAGAATCTCCCAGTAAAGCACCGTCAAGGTGTTAGTTAATCACCTCGCCCTTTTACGTTCACCATCTAGTCAATGATGTTATCATCTTTGAGGTGATGGTGTTGAGCAGGTGCTGATTAGAACCTGGCTTCCGGTTGTTTACGTTTAGCAGTTGTACCGATGAGTAAGCTGGTACCCCACAAAGACGATCCTACTCCGGTACTTGCGTTCACCGCATCTTGGTAGGTAGGATCCCGTGACGTACCAGTTACTGTTTCAACAACATACCATTTAGCCATGTGTGAATGATCCACAGTACGCATAAATTGCACTTAGACCAAATGTAGCTGGCTCGCGTCACGTGATGCGGCGTTGGCTTCTCGGTGGAAGCTCCAGGCTACTTCTTCCTTTTCAGAGAAGATTGCTCACATTTGAAAGGTTCTAGCTACAATCATGGTAACTTCACGCAAACGTTGTGAATTCTGTACACCTCAACTGTTGTTCATATTGAAGATTCCACAGAATTCGACGATGAGCCGTCGTAAACTGGTGGTAAATGGTTTCCGAACTGTTACATGTGAAACCATCCTGTGTGGCTAGATTGCAGAACAGGAACTTGAATCGAACGTCAAAAACGCACAATACTACTTTATAGGTGCGATTCTCACTAGCCGTCCATAGTTGTTTATTCCTAGTGTAATATAAGCTTGGAAACTGCAGGTAAAATAACACACAGGTGGAATGAATCTCTCTCTCCGGAGTACGTGTAGAACGTTGTAAAATGTACACCCTCGGTTACATCGTTCATGTGACTGACCTTACCGTGGTGTGACGGTCTACGTACCTCGATGACACATTGAGCACGACACTCGCAGCGTCTCACAGCAGGTTGGTCAATGGTTAGAGGTCGGACGAACATACTCTCCTGGTCATCTAGTTTGGGGGTTGGAACATGCGTGGCAACTTAATCCGTAAAGACGTAATGCACTACTCATAAGGTCGCTGAAAATTCTTCGACAGCCCACGACCGGTTTCTCCATTCTTGGGACTCATCAGGTAGGCGCATTCCCCGAGTTTCCGTCAATCTTACGTTCCACTTGAAACCAAATTGCACGAAACTAGCGAAATACACTCATTTGCAAACAAATTCGTTTTTTCGGGAGACTCACCTGGAACTCAACCGGATCTCTCCTCTATGATATTTTTACATTTTCCGCCAAACAGCCCTTGCCTTGTGATCAGGCTTTTGAGCTAAAGGCTGTGGTTGAGGACTTATATCGTCTAGGTGTGGATGACCGGGTAGTATCCCAGCCCACGTACAACCGCGAGTTGCACATATACAACTAAACTCATGCCACATCTACCGCCTTAGGACAGCGAAGCATCAGTGTTGAACATGCTGTCGATGATGATGATAATGATAGCATGGTTCATGGGACTCTTCGTTTTTTTCCAATCAGGTAAGCATCTGTGTCACGCTTAAAACATTAAGCATACTTGCTTCAGAACTGTGGATTTTTTAGCCTCTCTCTCTCTCTCTCCGGTCTATTCTCACAGGTCCGAGAAGCCAATATGTACTTTTTCATCGAGTCTGCTATCGCTCTCCTCGTCTCGCTTGTGATCAACGTTTTCGTCGTGTCCGTATTCGGCGCCGGCTTTTACGGCAAAAATGTCACACAAGTGGTAAGCTACTATTTCACTCCACTCACCCATCGATTTCGGTCTTAATTATCTGTTGGTCAACGGTGTTTTCTCGTTCCAACGCATATGTGTGGAAATTTGTACACACTATTTTGTGGGTTTGACTGTTTACTTTCCATGTTTGACGTGTTCTCTCTTTTCATTTTGAAAAGCAAAGAGTTCCAGTGTGTGTGTGTATGTGTGTGTGTGTGTGTGTGTATACTCTCACTCATGTTGTTCACTCCGGTCGATCAACTTGTTATGTGTTTGGTGGATGCTTCGTTTTCGTCTACCAGTGGAAATGTGTAGAGCCCTGTTCGGGACTGAAATCTTGCCAGTGAGAGTGACCCTCTCTTGAGTGAGTTTTGAATAAGCAGAGAAAAGGAGGTGGGCTGTTAGGGCATGTTAAATTCGGAGTCAACGGTGTCTTCTTCAGCTACTAGTGGATTCGGGAATCTCGTTTGAGTTACGGAACTAAACACTGTGTTCCTCATTGGTAACGAATCGTGTGTCAAGAAAGGAAGAATCGTTCTCTCCCACCCGCTTATCACAAGTTAGCTCGAAGCTCCCGATTCTCTCCGCATTCGCTTCACATGTGTTAATCTCGTCACTCACGTAGGCAACCATCGTCACCCTTCTTGTTGCACGGGAATCGCTGTCGACTTTCTACTCCGAAGTGTTTTAAAACTAACAATAGAAACAGCGAAATCCTCTTCACCAGTGCATTCCATAACCATTCATAAGTTGGTATTGAACAGTTCGGAAGAATCGAACAATTCCCTCCATATTGACTGACACTGAGTGATACTGCGGTTAGTTTCTCCGCTCACCCGTCCTCCACACACTGCAGATGCCGAACGAGGGATGTTCTCTTGTGCGAACCAAATCAAGTCCAACGAACTGCAGTCGGCTCACACGTACAAATAACTGGACGTGAAACTTACTCATCTGTACACGTGGTCACCATGGAGCGACTATTGCGCATTCCAGCTACTGAAGCCAAGGAGCAAGGTCCTGCCAAGCTTGTACTTACAGACAGCGAGTGAGCTGCTAACTAAACACATTCCCGAATATACAAGGACAGAGGTAAACATCTCCGCGCACACTCACTCATTTAGAAAGCCAAGCAATACCACACTCAACTCGATCACTCCACGTATGGTTAGAATCAAAGCCAAATTAAGGGTGGGAAGTATCAAGTCAATGAATCCTTGATATTTCTACCTGTCAAACCGAGCAGTCGTTTCTCCTTGTCGCCTGAGTCTGTCCTCATTCTGGTTAGCACGCACGGGCGGTACATTTCCACTGTTCTCCGATAATTCAGTGATTTTCGCGTTTGAATCACTCGTTTGATAAGTTTCCCCCTGTCCTGGTGCAAACACCAAAGGGAAAAAACCAACTCCATTGCGGAAGCATGAACAGCATGGGCTGTCCAGATGTGATGAATCAAAAGCATCTGGTGTGCGTTGGGTGATTGCACGGTCGCCTCGGAGGTCAGTCATCCGGAGTTCGAACTCCGGCACAGCCATGGATACGAGAACCATCGTCCAGCTGTAGTACCCTTTCGGTG